GTTATTGTTCAAAGATGGAATCAGTTACGCTGCATTTCGGAGAGTCTCAGTGTAGTGTGTGTCTGTCCGTGCGGGACAGAGAACACAAAATAGATATGAAAGCGATCCACTAGGTGATTCGTTATTACCGAAACGAACCAGCCAGGAAACCATAGCGCCAAAACAAAATAAGTGTTCACGCCGAATGGAAGTGATTTACGGGGAGGGGACACGGGTAGTACAGATAAATGCATGTGATCGCTAAGTGACAGGAAGACGAGAGAGAGAGAGAGAGCTATTTAACAGGTATTTTCGAATCATAGGATCAACCAGGGCACGTGTTCTTGTAACGGTACCCTGTGAATTGAAACGAGGCGTGGAGGAAACCGCAAGCAGCGGCAGGATGATCAATGCAGTTGGAATGAATTGTACTCTGTAATCTAGGTGGGCGCGCACAGGCGCACAAACACACACATCAAAAACCAAAGACGAACGGGATACGTCATATTCGCCTTGAGCATTCGAGGAACGAATAACTTTCATATCAGTCTTCTTTTTCTTTTGTAATACGGACACATACAAAAAAACAGGTGAAATCGGTTCAGACAATCCCAAGAAAGACAACGTCTCATTGACTAGGTTAAAACGGAGACATGATGTGAATCAGAGACCACGAATTACGCTGTCATAAACAACGGTCACGAACACGACAGGATGGACTCGATTGCTACAAAACGGACCGTGTACGTACACATGAACAAGTGTGAGTGTGGCTGTCAAGCAATCCCCGATTCGAGTACCGTTTTTCTCGAGGAGAGAAATTTTATTACACGCGGATCATTTCATGTCTGCATGTGTGACGAGGGTGGATGGGTGATTAGAGGTAATATGATAGTGTCTACAGTGAACAGTGACATTCAGTAACAAAAAAACCAATTCGGCACGGAAACCAGTTCACAATGAGGTCACAATTAAACTGGACGGAAAACTGACACACAAGCGTTGATTTTCACCCGACATTCAGGTCAGAGTGAGAGATCAATACGGAAACGTGACACTGAGCCCGACTATTAACGGACGACAGCCGTGACATCTATGCATATATCACAATAAGTAGTATATGGATAACTGCAAACGATTCCCCCGGAGGCGCACGACCAGTTTCGCGGTTTTTGTAGCTCGTTAGGCATGGGTATCCGGTGGTCATTTTATTCATATACTTGTACCCCGGAAGTCTATTTTCATCACGACAATCTCATTTGCAACACCCGGCAAATTTGGATGAACAGCTTTTTCTCTCTCTCTCTCTCTCTCTACACAGGATCAGAGAGCAGCATCCACACTGGTTTAGGCTAGGACAGACTGGATCCATGAACAGGTCAATCCACTTAGTCGACAGCGGACATCAAATCAAATCCGAAGGTCGCTTTCAAAAGCTGTTTATCGTGTTCCTCACACCAAGTACACACTCTAGCAATAGTCGAGGTGATCGGGATAAGACAGCTGGTCCCTGACCTCTGCGCCCCAACGCGGCTGCATCAGTTCCTCCAACTGCCATGACCCGTGATCGATCAGGTCCGAGTGTGTCCGCCGTCCAGTCCCTCCCCCCTCCTCATTTGAATCTGCAAGCTAGTTAAACTAATCAATTTGTACCCGTATAGCTTGTTTAAGCTTATATGCTTACATTTTCAGTTACAAAAGTACAGAGTTTGTCAGACGGAATGAAATATACACTTTCATATAATATAAAATTTAAAGAATCTTGCTGTGATTTGTTTCATGTACAGAACTTCTGACGTAGTTCACTTGTGACCTGTTCCTTTTGGGTTAGGATCGGGCCAGGTAGGGTACAGGGGAATTTTTAAAAATTTTAATGCGAGAGGATAGATGCCGAAAAGAAAAGCGTGTGGACGGATGGGAGTGACAAGGTGATAAATCAGGATGCAATGGATGAAGAAGGTCGTCTAAAATCGTATTGGTAAATTTAATACAAGAGTTTATGCGACCATTAATGAGTTCTGTGATCAATGAACTGATCGAGATTAATTAGGCACGACTGGTTATCATCAAACTACAATGAATTGTTGTGAAGTCTTGCTTTATAAAGTCAAGAAATACTACAGGGGAGCAACAGAGAAAAATGGGTAAAACGCACTGGTGAACGAAAAAGGACACGATTGACTGAGGGGGACGGAATTGTCTGGATTTGCGTAACAGGCGTCTCAGTTTGCCCATACAAGTGTATATGTGTGGACCAATGAAGACTGCTGTCGATGGTGACACCCAGGTACTTGGCTGAGGTCATTATGGATACAGATTTACCGTTAAGGGTAGCAGAGTCCGTTGGAAATGAGCGGGAGAGACCAAAGATACATTCTACGCACTAGATTGAGACCAGATTAACCAGAAAGCTGTTGGATGTGGAATGGATTTTAAGTGAAAGAATCAAATTCCGAAGGATGTAAAATTGTCTAACATAAAACGACGTCGTTTGCATACTTTTGGATATGGGCAGGGGGTGGGACAGAAAGATCACTAATAAAAGCAAAAAAAGATATGGAGATAGAACAGCAGCTTGAAGAACACCAGAATTATTAACAAGAGGTTTGGATATCCTTCTTCGTACTTTGGTGCACTGGGGCCTCTCTGTGAACTAGTCAGAAAGCCATGACAGTAGCTGTCTCGGAGTGCCAAAAGATTCAAGTTTGAAAAGAAGGGATGATTGAGAAACAAAATCAAACACGGACGAATAGGCAAGAAAAATACAATGGACAGACTTGGCCGATTTGTTCAATGACTTTCTGATAAAATGGATTAGAATGGATACAGCGTCCAGTGTAGATCTGTTAGGTTTATATGCAAACTGGAGGGGATCAAACGGGATGGTGGTAACTGACTGCACGCGACTCAGGATGGCGTTTTCAGTCGACTTTGGAGCCGCTGATGTCGTTTCGATAAGACGAAAGAAGAACAGTTGAAGATGAGGATTAAGGGATTGGAATAATGGTGAATTGACGTAAGGAATCAGGAATCGACCGGAACAATAAGGACTCATTTATAATGGATGTCATCATATTGGTCAGGGAAGCTGCTCCAAATTTCAGAAGTGCCGGAGGAAGACCATCGGGATCTGCATGAGAATGAGGGAATCCGGCTCTCATTTGACGAAGGGATGAAAGCGGCGTTAGGGCTGTTGACGTCCACAGGGGTATTGGAGTGTTTTCTGTTCTGCGCACAGAGAATGCGAATCATTTGCTATAGAAGCCTGATGTTCTTCATTCGCAGAATTTGGGCGGCGAAGATTGCACTTAAATACGTTATCTCAGACCTGATTAAATAAGAATAGTGCTTTACAACTGACACATGATGAGATTTGTAGGCCGTTTCTTTGTGCCTTCTAAGTGATTTCAAAAA